CGGATAACCGCAACTACCTGAGCACCCGCCACGATAATCACGTCTCCATCTCCCATTCCACCTTCTACCTTCCACCGATACGCCTTTGCTCGGTCAAGGTACCTTATTCCTTCAACCACCATCTTGCCTATCATATTAAATCAACAATCAATTCCTGTGGTACTGCACGAGCTGCCAAATCCCTGCAGCCGCAGTTACCGCCAGTCAAGCTCAACTCGCCTTCATTCATCATCCGTACCCACGAACCCACGAACTGATGCGATCGCGATACCCGACATACTTGCAGAGTGCATACTAAACCGTTGCCTGATGACTTGTGAGTTTATTAAGAATATCTTTCATGGCAATTGTTTCGCGCTGTATTTAGTCCCGTCCACGCTCTCTGTACTTGCCTATCCTCCTCTGCTCCGCGACGTTGTCTAGGTAGTCTATGGCAGATGTCATCGTACGGCATTGCCTATCCGTTCCCCAATGCTCGATATATCTTCACTGACCCGGCCCTCTTGAACGTTTGGCTGTCTAGCTGTTTGGCGGCTCTGAAGTTGACCTCGGCCCATTGTGTCTTTAGGAGCCTTTCGACGCCTGATCTCCCAATCATTGCGAGTTTTGAACCGTTGCCCATCCGCGGGGACGCCGGCAGCCAGCAGCGGCTTCTCCCCATACTGCCCTTCAGCTAGAAGTACGACACCCTCAACCACCCACTCGAACTGCGATCCTTCCATCTCATGATACGCGGATTTCCCCGCACATAAACGCCTGCGCGATCATTTACCCTACTCGCGAATATTCCGGCGCACAGAAGCCCACGAAGCCCCGCCAACATGGGATTCTTAGGAGTCTATAAGGCCGTCTATGACTACCTTCCCCAAGCCGAAGGCGAGCTTGCCATCAACGATGGGGATATTCTCTACGTGCTTGAGAAGAACGCCGAGGATGATTGGTGGAAAGCAAAGAAAAAGGCTAGTGCCGACGACGAAGAAGAACCCGAAGGTCTCGTTCCGAATAATTATGTAGAAGAAGTAGGCGCACCTGAGGCCGCTCCCACCGAGGCTTCATTCAGCGTAGCGATGTGTATACTAACTTCATCTCAGGCACAACCTGTCGCAAAGGCGCGCGCTCTGTTTGAATATACTAGGCAAACAGACGAGGAGCTTTCCTTCCCCGAAGATGCTGTCCTCGACGTCTACGACACATCGGACCCTGACTGGATTCTGGTCGGTCTAGATGACGATTATGGCTTCGTACCTGCCAATTACATTGAAGTTGGCGAAGCAGAGGATACTGCGGCTCAACCTTCGCCGCCTCCAACGTTACCGTCACGCACAAGTTCTGCTTCTGCTGTCACGGAAAGCTATTCGGAGAGGCCGGAGTCTGCCTACACACCAACCAACTCTAACGATAACAATCCCGCGGCGGCTCTGGCAGGTGTAATGGCGGGTCGTTCCGTCCCTCCACCGCGCGCTGCTACTCCCCCAATGTCACCGCAGTCCCCAGCATCAGAGCCATCGGATGAGGAGCCGGTTAGAAGCCCGGCTCTGCCCGCCCGTCCAATTTCACAGGTCGCACCGGCACCCGCACGTATCCAATCTCAAAGATCGATTGACACCCGTCTGTATGACCAGGAACCCGAAGTCGAAGAACCACCTTATCGTGCGCCTGGTGGATTCCACATGTACAATATCAACGAGATGGTATCCGTGATGGGCAAGCGGAAAAAGATGCCCACCACTCTAGGTATCAATCTAGCAACTGGGAACATATTGATTGCCCCGGAGCGTGCCCAGGATGGTCCCTCACAAGAGTGGACAGCGGAGAAGATGACCCATTACTCTCGCGAGGGTAAGCACGTGTTCTTGGAACTTGTCAGGCCGAGCAAAAGCGTAGATTTCCATGCTGGAGCCAAAGATACAGCTGAAGAGATTGTGGGCGCTCTAGGCGAACTAGCCGGTGCCGTCAGAGCAGAGGGACTCCGAGAGGTTATTCTTGCCGGCTCAGGAAAGGCACAGAAGAAAGGTCAAGTGCTTTACGATTTTATGGCTCAAGGCGACGACGAGGTCACTGTTGCCGTTGGTGACGATGTCATCATAATCGACGACACCAAGAGCGAAGAATGGTGGCAGGTTCGGCGTGTTAAAAACGGCAAGGAGGGCGTCGTCCCGAGTAGTTATATCGAGGTCACAGGCTCCATCGCCCCACCCGCCAGCAACACCGGATTGAACGCGGCGAAGTCAACCGTCGAACAGAACCGCTTGGAAGAGATCAGGTTGACAAAGGAGGCTGTCAAAGCGGCTCAGAGGGACAGCTCACAGCAGGTAGGGCCAGGAATGCCTCTACCAAAGCGAGGCAGCAGTCTTATGGCAAGAGAAAATGGTAATAACTATGGGCAGCGGAGCAAACGCGAAAACGGACGTGGCGAAGGCGGCAGTCAAGGCCGATCCGGCAAATCTAGTAAGCAATGACCCTCAGCCTTAGGTTCTGGTGTACACTCTGTACTAACACTATTGTTACAGAGCCGGATCCCGCCAAAGTGCGGACGTGGACGGACCGATCGAAGTCTTTCAGCGTCGACGCACAGTTCCTCGGACTCAAGGACGGCAAGATTAATCTGCATAAGATGAATGGCGTCAAGATTGCAGTTCCTGTGGCAAAAATGTCAGTGGAGGACCTCGAATACGTCGAACGTGCTACCGGCATTTCACTGGACGAAGACAAGCCATTGTCGAATGTCAAGAAAGCCAGGGCCTCACAAGCCAGAAACTCGCCGCCTGCCGGAATCGGCGCCTCAGTTGGACAATCGCAGAAGCCCGAGTACGATTGGTTCCAGTTCTTCCTCACTTGCGATGTTGCCGTAGGCTTGTGCGAGCGATATGCACAGGCCTTCGCCAAGGACTCGATGGATGAAAGTGTACTTCCAGACGTTGACGCCTCGGTGCTTCGTAATCTGGGTCTTCGCGAAGGAGATATACTAAAAGTTATGCGTACACTGGACCAGAAGTTTGGCCGAGTGAAGAACGGCGCTGACAAGGCAAATGGAGAAGGCGACGGGGCTTCTGGAGGTCTCTTCTCTGGTCCTGGCGGGGCTCTCCGGAACAACACCAGAAAAGGCAGACCGGCACCCGCAGTGCAAACGAGTGATGTCGTGGACCCCAAGGCATTCACTGCAAAGGGGTCCAGCCCGAGCGAAGACACCGACTCCAAGTCGCCTGCCTCTGCTTCAACAGCGACGGCCAAGACGATTAGTGGTTTCGATGATGATGCATGGGATGTGAAGCCCGCAAAGCAACCCCAAGAGCCCCCTCGCCCTGCCGCAGCTCCTACTCCGGCTTCAACTCAACCACCGGAACAACAAACACCGCCCCCTCAAGTGCCTGCTCTCACTGGCTCCATGCAGGAATTGTCACTGCTGTCGAAGCCTCTGGAGCCGCAACGGACAGCCCAGCCGCCGGCGCCAAGCCCGGTCGTTGTTCAACCACCGGCACCGGTGCAGGCGCCTCAACCCACTGGAGCTACGCCGTCATTCTTTGATACCATCAGGCCGAGTTCTACAGGCTTGCCGACATCCCAGCAAGCTACACAGCGGCAAAGGCCAGCCCCGCCTCCGTCTATGGCGACCACTGGCTCGCTGATGCTGCCACCGCCGTCGAGACCATTGTCAGCACCTCAGACTGCTCAGCAGAGCGCCTTCGCGCCACCGCCTCTGATGCCTCAAATGACTGGCGTTTCCCACCAAACTTTCCAGAGTCAGGTGGCACCGCCAGGGCAGAGCATGAATGACCTGAATCAAGCACGTTTGCAGCAGCAGTATACCATGCAACAGCAGCAGCAGCAACAACCACAAATGCCACAGCAGCAGATGAATGCCTATCCCGTGCCTCAGCAGCAACCAGTCCCGGGCGTGATGGGCTTCAACCCTGGCATGCAGCAGACTGGTGGACAGTTTATGCAGTCGATGCAGCAGCCAATGATGACAGGCGCGCCTTCTCAAAGCCCTTTCGCGGATCCTCAAAGGCAAAGCCAGTTCTCCCCAATGCAGGCGCAACCTACCGGCTTTCCTGGTCAGTTCGGACAGCTCCAGGGTTTCAATGCGCAACCCACCGGAAGCATCAACTCATTCTTGCCCCCTGCCATGGAGCCGCAAAGAACCGGCATGCCTGGCTTCCAACCGCAGCAAACTGGCATGGGAGGATTCAACAATATGGGCAGCGCCGGGCTTCAAGCACCGGTGCAGCCTTTGCAACCTCAGAAGACAGGTCCTCCTCCGCCGGTTCGCTTCGGAGTTACAGGCGACGCAAAGAAGTTGATGCCGCAGGCTACAGGCCGGCGGGCCAATCTCTCACAAGCAAGTCAGTATACACATTCTCATCTACAGGGTTCCTGCAGGATTTTGCTAACTGGAATATCTAGCTCCCAACAACCCCTTCGGTTTCTAATTGCATATCCATCTCCGTTCTTGATGGACTCGTCTTCAGGATTGGAGCGAGCGAATCCACTGGCCGCATTTCCCCCTTTCTAAACACACGCTGCATAGCATAGGTGCCATGTGTGTTTACCACCGTCTTACCAGTGTACGTACATAGATGTACTTAATACTACTTCTTTGACCTTGCTTTCGGCATCAATGTGAAGCTCGTGATGATTCAAGCCGTCGCTCTAGTAAGTTTGTCTTTGAAGAGCATGGCAAAGTCAAGCAGGAGATGGGAGGCATGTAGGCAGTGCTGAAGGATGAGACAGAAAAAGGCCGTGTCTTTCAAGCTGGTGTGTCTGAACAGCGCAAGTTAAACGAAATACTGATCTATAGATTATGTAAAACAATAAGCAGTAAGTCACCTGCCACCCACGTGCAAAGATTGGGCAGCATCCTACCGTATATTTGTACACTTCCTCGTTCCGCCTAGGGCTGTTATCATTCAGCTTCCTCGCACAAAACGCTGTCAAAGTTGGGAAGCACTCTTCGACACACGACGACATGCAAATGGCCCGCCCCTTCCCCTAGAATCGCTCTATGCCTTGCGCCGACGGGCTTGAGTTGCGGGAGATGCTGCTGTGGCCTTGGCAGTAGAGGGCTCGATCGTAGCTTGCTTGTCTGTTGACTTCGCCGGCTGGAATCTCTTCCGAACCGCGCGAATCATCATGATGAACCAGTAGAAGTTCAAGCTGTTGAGAGTTATATTGCTCATCAGGTACGTCACGGCTAGCCAAGTTGGCACCGTTGATGTCGCCGTCGCAAACCTCATAACACCAGTCGGAGCGAGCACCGCGCCTGTTTCCGGAGAAATCTCTTTGGACAGGACGGGATGTGCATTGATTGCAGCGTAGATGTCCGAAAAGACCTTGACGGACTGGTATGTTCCGTATACGAGGCGGCAGGAGAAGAACGTGAATAAGAGCATGAGGCCGTTGTAGAGTTGCGCGCGAGACCCAGTCATTCCCAGCTTGTCAAAGAACCAGTGGATGTTGAGGAAGGGCGTGGATAGCTCCCATAGGATGAAGATGCAGCCATAGTAGTTGAGAAAGGGTCGCTGATTGATTGACAGAGGTCAGCGAGAGAGACATGAATATAGAGCACTTCGTCCGAGGCAGACTTACGAATCCAAGAGAGAAGACAAACAGGGCGCTGACAGCATGAGCCAAAGTGCCGAGTCCAAAGACATCCATGTTGAGACTCGTGACGACCAAATCCCACAGGAAGTAGCCAGCGGCAAGGCCCTGGATCATACCGGCAGCACCAGTGTATCCCCACATGCGGGCTTGCCAATCCATCGTGCTACGCTCCTCATCAACCAACATGACCCAGAGGGCCAAGCCATTGATGAGAAGGCTCTGGACAAGAGAGACGACATGGGCGTCCCAGTTTATGCGTCTCTTACGGGGTAGATCGAGGTATTTGCGGCCCACTATCAATCGCGACAGTAACGGAGACACGGGGTAGTAAATGACCGAGTAGAGAAGGGCTGAGGCGAGAACTTCGTGGATGTGGATCGGCAGTGTCGGCAGCGAGAAGTAGTCAGCAAAGGGCTGAGTCGCCTTGACGAGCCATGGCAGTGGCTCGAGAAAGAAAGGATCTTTCATTCTTTGTGTTGACGCCTTGATTCGAGTTCAGCTATCTGCTTCTGCTGTGGAGGGTCTTGAAAGCTGCTTCGGTTCGGGAGTGACAGGAGACTGTGGTATACTGGGGAGACGGACGAGAGTGGGCTGCGTGGCTTGATTGCGGCGCTGGACGTTTGGGATGTCTTCCTTTTCAAGGTATTCTTCGACAGGAAGATTCTGTCACCGGATCGATTTGTCAGTCTATCAAATGCTTGAGGTGAACGAGACAAGATAAACAAACGTGAGCAATGAGTGAGTGGTTCAAGGTCTCGTGTGGCTATGAAGCAGGCGAGGTAAAGCAGGGGTCGGCGCGCGGGGAGCAGACGGATTGTTGGGGAAGCTAAGCTTGATGGAGGAGGACCCTTGAAGACTTGTAGCACCTGGCCACCCGCCAGCTGCGTCGTGACTTTAAGAGGTGCCCTGAGTTGAGCACTGGGCACAGAGGTGGGGGCGGCCGTGAGCACAGGTTCACAGACAAGAAGTGTTTCTCAGGCCGTTGTTTTCGAGGCCGTTTCCGCCTGCGCCCTAACTTTGTCTTTTTATTAGCTACCTTGCGCGTCAGCTGCACTATGGTTAGGGGTCGTGGGATGCTATGGCCAGAACTAGCTGTCCGTCTCATGATGGCATCACACGCCTAGGTAGCGCAGTGTAGTTGATCGAGGCGGTGCTATGAAGTGAACCGTAGTAAAGGAAATCGGCGGGGGACTGGCCCCAGTTCCAACCCTTTATTGCTTGGGTACGGGATCCGTACATACTGCAATATGAATACTGAAATAATCAGTAATCAGCGCCCAGGAGGTTCAAACATTCCTGCGCACGCGGCCATCCGTGCTGGTGCACTTGTGTCCGATCTTGAATGCTACCTACCCAAGCGATTTCTCCAATAGCATGGTGCCTAGACTGTGGGGAGGCCAGGTGAGACCAACAGCATACCTAGCTGGAGTCCTCGCTTTAAATGGTTTTCTGCTTAAATTCATCGGCATAGCTTTCGGTAACAGGGTAGGTACTCAAGCTATGGTACCTTACTCCGACCCTACACTACCTTAGTCAGGTGGATGCCTTTCGGTGTGCACCTACCAAGCTACCTTATCTTGAGGTAGCCTGCTGGTGGTGCCACCACTTGCTCCTGCCCCAAAGTGACAGAAAACCCCTTGTTCTATCCAATGACATCTACCTGCTGCCCAAGGTAGTTATCAACAGCAACTTTCCAATGTGAACAAGCCGCCAATATGGCTGATGTTCTCCTTGATTTACTCGATGCTCGGCAGTCTACGAGCCTCGATACCGACGCCAATGCTCTGTTCAACCCGACAACTAGGTCAACCAAGCTCGCATACCTGTCCCACCTCGCTGATCAGAGTCCGGAAGCACTAGCCTCGACTGAGCCTCAATCCCTGGCCCAGACATCACATTCACTTCTCCTCTCGCTCCAAGGGGTCTCAAAGCGCTCTCACAAATCCATCATCGACTCGGCTTCAAACCACACTGGCCTGACCCGCGCATTGCCCACTCTTGTTGCAGACACGGCAGACCTGCGCAATGCCATTCCCAAGCTCGAATCAGAGGCCCTGCGCTTTTCCACCATCTACAGTAAATCCAGGGACAACGAGGACTTGGCCGAAAGGAAACGCGCCTTACTGCTACTACGCAATGTTGAACGTCTCGTCGACGTGCTGGAACTTCCTACCCTCCTCTCTTCCGCCATCAATACTGTTCCTGCTAATTACGCGTCCGCTCTCGATCTCAATGCCCACATTCGGAGACTTCATGGCTTGTATTCATCTTCGCCGCTGGTCGACCTCGTTTCCCAACAAGCTGACGAGGCCATCGTGAAGATGACGGCCGATCTCATCGCTGCGCTCAAGTCCCCTGGACTCAAGCTGGCCGCATCACTGCGAACGATCAGCTGGCTCAGAAGAGTGCTTCCGGACATGTCTTCAATGAGCTCCACGAGCCGCGGTTCTCAGGAACACACCCTCTCACTACTTTTCCTCTGTTGCCGCGTAGCCACCTTGGACGCTACCTTGGGGGCTTTACAACCCCTTCGTGAGCTAGCTGATGACGAGAGGCAGAGGCAACTGAGCGCCAATCAACAGTCCTGGTCAGGCGGGCAGCAGACAGAAAAGTATCTCAAACGCTATGTCGAGATCTTCCGTGAGCAGAGCTTCAGCGTTGTCTCCATGTTCAAGAGCATATTTCCCAGCACTGGATATCAGACCGGAACTACTTACGACGACGAGGATCCTTTTAGACCCATGCCATCAACGCTATCGACATTCCCACTTCATCTTGTGGAGATGCTTCTCGAAACCTTGACAATATATCTTCCGGTTGTGAAAGACCAAGCAGCAAGGGATAGTATCCTCACTCAAGTTTTGTACTGTTCAGGGAGTTTGGGCAGGCTCGGAGGTGATTTTGGGATGCTCTTGGCAACCTTGGGGGACGAACACGAAGTAACGAAACAGTCTGAATGGGTTGACATAGTCAAGAAGCACCGATTACTTTCTGGGCGCCTTGAATCGGTTATCGGCGACTTCAAGGCGACAGGGGCCAAAGAGGCGTAAGTCCCGAGTTGTTGCTAGTCGTGGTAACGTGCTCGGGGCACGTTCAAAGGAGGATGACTACAAAGGCGGAAGGCAGGGTCGAAGGCAGGGTCGATGGCAGGGTCGATGGCAGGGTCGAAGGCAAGGTGGAAGGCGAGTCCACAAAGCGGAAAATCATCTCCACCTCTTGAAAAGGAGGTTCGACAGCATGTTAGTCATCGTAAGCAGTTGGCATTATGTTTCTCGCTGCGCTCGGATAGCACCAAACCGGCAGACGAGAGCATTATGCTCTCGAGTAGCTCACCGGATACAACCAGAGGTTCATGTTTCTTCAACGTTGTGTGAGCAAACGTCGAGAATCGGGTCAGGAACGCCGGGCCTGCCGGAGGCTACCTGACCGGAAAGACCCGGTCGGACCCATAGGATTCATATGTATATAACCGTCATTACACCGATTATTGCTCCCTGACTTTCTGCTAAGCGTTGCCCGATACGGCTAGCGACTCAGAAGCACCGACCTGCCTTGACGACCTTGCCTTACCTCAACTTAGCTACCTCATGTGCTTATGTAGATATCTAGCTACCCTGCCAGCCGTTCTGAAAAGTCATCACAACTTGTAATCATTCTTCCCTTCTCATTCTGCCTTGAAGTCCATCACATCTGCTTAGGCAAACTGTATATTTAGGATAAGAACGTCTTCGGTTATTGACGCAATGGCATTTGCTTGTAACACTCATTTCCACACATAAAACAAACTCGCCGCCGCACCACCCGATATTGCACCGCAGTTCGCCCAGTATCATCTCCCCGTCTAAAAGATACGACAACAGCTCTCTCAGAAGTCCCCATGTCTCAACAGGCGACTCCGGGCCGCACAAAATCATGTAAGAGGAGGACAGGCACACTTATTCACCTGCCACTGTCTGGTCATACGCATGACTCCCTGCGAGCTGCCACTTTGAAATTCTTCTCTAAACTCACCTGTGATCGAGGCTGCGCTGACCTGTCCCTCTCCTCTCACAGCTCGACATTTCGTTGCTGGACTAGGTTCCGGCATTGCATCGGCAGTGCTGCTGCAACCGCTTGACCTACTCAAGACTCGTGTTCAACAATCTGGCCACCGGTCACTGACGTCGTATCTCAGGGAGGTTGCCGCTGCTCCCAACAAGATCCAGACGCTTTGGCGCGGCACAATCCCGTCAGCCCTCAGGACCGGCTTCGGTTCGGCCCTCTACTTCACATCCCTCAACTCCATCCGCCAGCATGTGGCCCAGTCGCGCTTATTGAGCCAAGCCGCCGGCAACAGGGCAGCACACTCGTCCTCACTACCGACGCTAACCCCATCGGCCAATCTGGTCGCCGGCGCCGTCGCCAGGACGTTTGCCGGTTTTGTCCTCATGCCGTTGACCGTCATCAAGGTTCGATATGAATCCAATTTGTATTCCTACAAATCCCTACTCGGCGCGTCTTCGGACATATACAGGACGAATGGTCCGCGAGGATTCTTTGCTGGCTTCGGTGCTACCGCCGTCCGTGATGCACCTTACGCGGGCATGTATGTATTGTTCTACGAGCTGCTCAAGAAGCAGCTTAGCAGTCTGTCTACTCGAAAAGACAGTCCCAATCCGAATCGCCCCGTCGCCATTACAACATCACATGCAACGCTAGTCAATTTCAGCTCTGCCGTCATGGCGGGTGGAGCGTGCTCCGTCATCTCGAATCCTTTCGATGCTATCAAAACGAGGATTCAACTGCAGCCAGCTGTTTACAGAAACATGTACCAGGCTTGCCAGAAGATGATTTCGGAAGAAGGTGTTCGGTCACTTATGGATGGTGTTGCGCTCCGCATGAGCAGAAAAGCAATGAGTTCAGCTTTGGCCTGGACTGTGTATGAAGAACTGATGAGAAGAGCTGAACGCACTTGGTCCTCAAACTTGACGACGACAACGACAGCGGAGCCATAGCGAATGCGCACTCCAACATACAATCCCAACTTGATCCACTGAAAGAAACCCAACGTCCCGCAAAGACGACTTGTACTAGTAGCCGATGGTATATATTTCCCCCGAGAAAGAACAAATAATCTGGGAAGCTCTAATAGAGCGTTGGGCATCTAAGATATCTTGTGTGGTGTGATTGTAGGATGTTGTCCCAGACACAAACACCCATCCTCGCCTTCGATGCGATAAGAAGTTTGATGTACTCGGTCCAAATGGCGACCAAAATGTCGCCTTTCCCCCCTCCTTTCCTTCCTCCCCCTTTCCTCCTCAAATCATGCCGGTTTCGCTCCCGCAAGGTACATGAGGAGCGCGGGTGACTTGCTTCTCTTCCGGTCACTCTTCTTTCTGACCCATTCGAACTCTGGTTCGTGGCGGTGCGACTTCTTGTCTTCGATCTCAAGTACGAGCTTGGATGAGCGCTTCTCACGAATCGACCTGGTGTGTCTCCAAAGGGTATCTTGCTCCCATTCCGGCACCCATCGTCTGATGAGCACGTAATCAGGATCCTGAGATAAGTCAGCAGATGCAACAGAGGTCAGTCGCCTTCTGAGTATGCTTACAACATCCATTTCCCATTCAACCTGATATGTTCGCAAGGTTTCAATCGAAAGATGCTTCCGTGCCATACGCGTGTAGGTTGGGCGATTCCCAGCAACGAGCGCGTTTTCATGCTGGGCTGGTCTTTGTCGCGGTGGCTCCGGAATCTTCTCCTTCTTGAGGATGGCAGCAATAGCCTTGTCGTCAAGACCTGATTTACGTAGGTCCTCCTGGAGACGTCTTTGGTACTCCTTCTCGCGCTCCTCCTTCTCCTTCTTCTCCCTGGCTAGCTTGTCCAGCTCCTTTTGACGCTCTTCCTTGAGCCTTTGCTGAAATTCCTTTTCACGCTGTTCCTTTTCCTTCTTCTCTTGCGTAAGTCGATCTGCCTCCTTTCTCTTGTAGCGTTCTACGGCATCGGCAGCTTCCTTTTCTCGCTTCTTGGATAAGTCTGCCTTCCGCATGTCCTCTTGGTACTTTTCCAGCTCGATCTTGGTCTTGAAGCGCTGTTCTTCAGCAGCGCGAGCCTCCCGGGTTCGGATATCTTCGAGATCGCGCTTGGCACGTTGGAGCTCAGCTTCCTCCCGGAACTCCTTTTGAACCCGGCGTTCCTCTTTCTCACGAGCCTGACTGATTCTGAGTTCCGCCAGCTCTTGTCGAGCCCGTTCTGCCTCATAATCCTCCCGGGTCATGTAAGAGGATGAAGGTGAGCGGGAATGAGATGAGTGACCACGGGAGTGAGAACGGTGACGGCTGTGGTAGACCTGCATGTGGCGGTCGTCCTCATCATCGGAAGAATGTTCGTTGTAAATACGGTTGTTGATAATTACAGGAGCCGGGGCCGGAGCGGAGATGGAAGCCGGAGCGGGACCCGGTGGAGTGGAATGGCGCTCACGGGAACGCTCTCTTGACCGAGTGCGAGTGGTTATGACTGTGCGCTCAGGAGCCAAGAAGCTAGGCTGTTGACCTGCTGACGGGTAATAGTTCCTACTGGGTCTCGATCTCGCTTCAACATAGTGAACCTGTGAAGGCGACGGTGCCCGACGCCTCGAGACTCGTATGTCAAGGTCATCCGAATCGGAGTAGTAGCTGTTACTCATGGTGCCTAAAGCGCCGAACGGCTCAACAATGGTTCAAGTTAGGATGGTGTGGGCAGCAGCGGAGAGTGAGAATCAGAGGCTCAGTCGCTAGATACCTCTGTGAGCCTACGAAGTAGGAAACGATAGGTTTTTTGAGAGAAAACACAACGACGGCGAGCAACCGGAGGGAGGGACAGGTGGTTTAAGAGGGGTTGGGGGCGGAAGAGTACAACTCGATGGTCTTTTATGCTTTTTCTGGCTTAGGGTACTAGAGTAAGGTAAGAGCTGAAGGGGGGCGACGAGATGCGCGACATGAGGTAGTGGTCGCTGGTCGGTCGGCTTACATGGCTGGCATGGTAGAAAGGGGAGCCAGTGGTTGGATTGGCCATAGTGCGAGGATCGAGCCAGGTGGAGGGGATGGCCCACCAGGCCTAGGAGGGAAGCTAAGCGACCAGGTTAGGAGAGGGGGTTTGTACAGGATGACAGGGCCTAGTGTTCCAACACCGTCCGAAGAGGGAACCCAAGGTAAAGGTAAGCGTGATTTAAAAGCAGAAAAATGCTGAGGTACCTAAAGGAGGGTAAGGTAGGGTACCTACCTACCTCACGAAGTTGCTGTGAATGAGGGGCTGTGATGTGGGAGCGGTGTCGCGGGGGCAGCGACCGCTAAGATAACTAGTAGGTAGTTCGAGATGGGAAGAAAACGGGCTGAGGTTGTCTACCTAGGTACACTCAACAGGCGGACGCCAACGCCGCAGGATCATATGCCGGCGTCATAAATTACAACCCTTGGTCAATGGAAAGAGTATCAGGCGTACGCGCCTAGCAATTCGAGCCTGACATCTTCGAGGAGGACGCCAGACCAGAAACATTCACCTCGAGATGGTGTACTTTCCTCACTCCCAACTATTGGTATATCGGGATCAATGGCGGGGCAGTCAGCATCGGCAAGGCACGGGGCCGACCGTTCATTCGTCGGTTCATCCGCACAACGGATGGATGACCGCCATCCCACCTGGAGGGCGAAGATGCGTTAATACGGATACCTAGTTCTGGACTTATCGATATGTACTGGGTGCCTCCTTGACCTGACCTCCGTACATAGTTCGGCGCAGGGTGGCAGGTGGCAGGTGGCAGGCATGGCAGGGGAGGTACGCAGATATCCTCCCATTCGAGGCCCGAAACGGCTTAGCCTGATGTCGTAGGGCTGCGCGATTGCTGACAGAGTGGGTTCGACGGCCTGTATCCGTAAGTACGGAGTACTGAGCATGGACGGAGCACGTACGTAGCACGGAGAAGGACCTAGCAACCGTGCTGACCTACGCGCCTAGGTACCCAAGGTGCCTACTTGTAAGGGAAGGATAAGGACCTACATGGTTTCAGTGGGCTTCTTACCTATGGTACCTTGCCTAGGGAGCCTTACCACAGGGCGCTCGCTATAAACCCGCGTCTCATATGGCAACTTGAGGTGTTTGCTGGTACGAATAGAAGCGAAATGGGTAGGTGGTGCTCTCAGAGCATCATTTACCTCACTGTGGTACTTTGCCAGACCTTGGGTAGGGAGGCAAGGAGGGTAGGCACATGTTGTAGGTGGATGGCACTGCAAATCCCTTGTGGGGTCAAAGCCTCCAACCCCGGCCCCGACACCCCGGTCACCCCCTCACTTCTGAGTCCTCCAGCGATGAGCGGCAAGCCCTCACGTCTCCAGCAAACCGCCAACCATCCATCAACCCAACCCACCTTACCAGGCAGCCGTTTTTGGGCCCAGTCGTGGCATCTTGCGAGAACAGTCTGGCTGGCGCAGTGAAACATTTTACTCAGGCCATGGATTCCTTGCCCTGGCTAGGTGGTCAAACATGGACCAATATCGTGAAGCACCCTTTTCGCGGCTGCCTGCGTACCCAGGTAATAATAGCACCCCGAATCGGCTCGTGTACCCTCAAGTGCCAACGGGCCAGGCCCAGGTCACCAGAGCTGAACCTCAGCCGCCGGGTCTTACCTTGTGTGTACACACACAAACACAGTAATGTGCCACAAGAGGGCTGACCGCCGGTAATTTGGAAAGGAAGGGGAGACGACCAAGATAGTTTAGATGGGACTGCTCTTTTTAGAAGCTGTTGGCGGCAAACTCGCCCCAGTCGCGTGGTCGACCTCCTAGACCCTTCTGCAGGCCTAGAGCGATTAGAACATAACATCATCAATGAACGGAAAACGGACAGGAAATGGCTACATCGTACTACCTTAAAGCACGCTTGAGTGTACCCAAGACCACCCGGGCGGCGGTTGTCAAAATCTCCCACCAGAGTCTTATTCTCCCACCTCACCCAGAGAAGACCCATCTGCTCTAGACGAACATACACACGAGACCGTTGACATTGGACTTTGCCGACGTGAGAGAGAGAGAGAGAGAGAGAGAGAGAGAGAGAGAGAGAGAGAGAGGCGCGGCGCGGCGCTTGAATCGTTGGCGCACGACACTCGCTCATCTTCGTCAAACTGTTGGCAGTAATAGATAAAGTTCAGGTTCATCTTCCACCTCTTATCAGTGCGTACGAGTATATCTTCCCGATCTCCAGTCACCTCACAGAGTCATCGCTCATATGAGAGTCGTTACCGCATGCTGACACGCATGAATCGAGCTCTGAATCGCAAAGAGTGCTCTTGGTCGTCCATCACAGCACCGTTGCTTGCGCCCTCATGTTCGCGAGCCAGTCCCAACTGTGGTCAATTCGATGCTCGAAGAACCCCCCCCCCCCCCCCCGGACGAGGATAGCATCAAATGGCCACTAACATGCACAAGTACTTTGCTCACGCCGCATTGCGAGCGATGGCTCGAAGAAAATACGTCTTCAAATGCTGTACTACCCGTACTCGGAGCCGCAGAAGTGCTTATCAACTCGGTGATGCTTGTCGTCCCGTCCCGATGCTTAAAGAGGATTGCATGACAAAACATTCCACCTCCGCCTTTTCTTCTGTTGTCCCCGATGCGATAAGCTCCTGACCCCATCATTTGGCCCCCCTACCCTCTGGTCTCTTACAGAATCTGTCATCATGACTGCGCCTTGAGCATCTGGTCAATGTGCTGCCGGCTGTTCTTGTACGTTGTCTCCAGGTAGTGCAGCTTCTGGCTCAGCTTCTCAACCTCGCCCTCCCTATCCTTGATTTGACCCTCCAGCTTTTGTGTAAGCTGCGGGGTGGGTAACGCGACGAACCTTTTCCGCCCCCGAGGCTCGGCGTCAGCAACGTAATCCATATACTCTGGTCCTGGCTGCAGCCGCTTCGTCATCCGACGTCCGTCAAACACGGAACTTGGCTGCAGCGTACACAATCACAAAATAAGAACATTGGTCAGCAGGGAATTTACGTACATCTTGCCGACACCTTCGTAGACGTTCAAGTTTGAGGGCAAGGTGGAAACCTCATCAAGCGTCAGACGGACCATGCGCATTTCTCGTTGCTTTGCCGTCATCTGTGTGCGTGCCTGGCCAATCTGCTGCTGGGCCACGATTGCTTGGCTTTCGATTTCTCGGATCAGCTAGGCAGATACACGTGTGAGTAGGCGGCAGCTGAAGCGCAGAGTAGAGACCAAAGGCAAGGGGTTCCATCGTTGTTGTCCTCTCACCTTTTCAAGCGCTTGGTTCGGGATAGACATGTTGACTTGATGTAACAATGAGACGGTTCCTGGCGGGCCACGTTGTATCGATGCCCCTGGCACTGGCAAGTGGCTCTTTGTAGCTCAAACGATAAGGCTGTCGCGGAGGAAATCGTGGTTTTCGCAAGTGAACTCAGTGTCGTTGGCGACGATGTTGTGGGCAGGCTGAGGCGTGAGATCGCAACTATGAGATGGGGTTTTCGTTTGGCTGAAGCTCGCGACAAGGTGGGGATAATTAGTGGATGGTGAATGCGTGTAACTTTAGTTTGTAGTGGACTGGTTTGGAAAGGCGGTATCTAGCCATACAGCCAAGTGGGTGACAAAAAAAGTGATGCACAGTACCACACCGAAGAACTACCACTTCCTCATACCCAGCAATGCCTACTTTAACCTATTTTTGAACTTTTAATATTTTCAAAATAAGAGAATGATCTTCTCATCTTCTAATATAATATCCTAAAAACCCTAATTAGTATTGGTCTATTTGGGTCGTTGTACGAGTGGTCAATCTTGAGGTTCTGGTAGAAGGTAGTGTGTACCAATTTTTGGCACCAGCCTGACAGGTAAGGTATGGACCGTCACAAATTAAGCAAGACTCTACGGCACTCCTTGCCTACCTCAAGGTACCGTGGCACCGTGGGTACCTCCCAGTGGAGAAAGGCGTTTGGTAAGATATGCAACAAGGAAGAATACCTTCAGGGGATTATGCATTTACCGCTGCGTCGTGCTAACTGGCTCCGCACTTACATTACCTTAACTAAGGTACCACGTAAGGTAGGGTACCTGAGGTGAGGTAGATGAATAGAAGACGGCATTATACTACCTTTCACTTTGCAAAAGGTCACACAAGTTCTATATTTTGTTTCTGGCTCGATTCGATTGCAATTGATGGGGTATTTCTAGTATGCCGCAGGTGCGGGCATATGTCATCCTGCCATCTGCGCCCAGCAGTGCTGGCTGCTAGATACATCCATCTGCCAATGGTTCTAAACAGGGCTCCCAGAGGTGTTTGTGTCTTCCTTGGCTTGAGAATATGCGGCTGCTGTCGCCAAACCCTCGGCTTGGGTGCCGGTGCAATCTTACCTTGAACGGTTACCGATTGTCTGTCCACCATTGATATCCTGATTTCTTAGTCCGACTTCTCTGCTTTGACCACTAGCGGTATCGACGAAAGGGACCTTGGCCAGACGAGTTTGTACTCATCTTCGCGGCCCTCGAGACATCTGCGTAGCCATATGCCCCATGTAATGTAGTAGTAAGCTATAACTCATTAGCACATGTCGGAGGTGGGAATGCCGTATGTCCTCTGATCCATACCTCCTATACATCACATTAGCAACAGTCTTGGTAGAAATGACAGTACCGCTCCAATCGGAAAACGTACCAACACCTGTCATCAAGTGCCACCAAGCATGACCCTCTAGCAGTGCGCCCCAAGGCAAACCAAGCTGTCGTCGCCATTGTCTTATTTGGCTGCAAAACGCATTGTCAATATTCCAGATGAGAAACCCCATGAGGAAGACACTGAGTCCTAATCAGTCATGTCAGCATTATAGAACAACGTGTATGGTTTGGGGCCGTTCCAAGAGACCTGTTCCAACCATGATCCACATGGTTTTGAGAATGAGATCGGCCTTGTCCTTGTTTCTTCGTGCCAGAACTGGCCGCAGCTGCGTCTCCATGACATACAAGCTGCGTAAAACAACCTGGACAGCGTCAGTCAGCATTTCGATAAGGAAGGCATTCTGAGCGCTGATTGAGTTCAAAGTATTACCGTTGCTGTCAACGCTGCATAGCAGGCCTGGTGGAAAGCCGGATCTTTGGTGATGTGGTAGTAGGACTATTGCACAGTGGTCAAAACGGTGGGTTCTCACAATCATCACGCCGTGGATGGCATTGGTTCAGAATCCACCCACCGTGATAAGACCAGCCAAGAGGACGAGACCGCCGCCCAACAAGACCGAAAATCTGCTAGACTTGGAGAATGAAAATGTTGCAAAGACCATGAGACACGTGGTGTATATCATGGATAGCTCGTCGATAAGCTGCATAGGGTCTAGCCAAGTAATTTTGTCAGTCCAGTACTCCGCGTGCAGATAGCAGAAGATGTCCTGAGCGAGGAGTGAGGACGAACACTTCAAGGATGTGTGGAAGGCCGTAGAGCCCAGTCCAACGATAACGTATCCGAGATATGCGACTAGGAAAATGCGTGGGTGGCCCTGAGATACGCAATTATGTACGCCTTTGAAGCCAAGCCACAGGAACAAGAGGTTGGTCAAGGTCTTTTAGAGGGTCAAGTCAGTAAAGATGAGAGCTGACTGAAGCAGGAGAATGTGTAACTTACATTGCAAACTTCAGCACAGTAATAAGAAACTACATAGTCCTATGTCGACAAAGGTAAGCAGAGGTCAGCAACACCAATAATGGCAAAGAGCGACCACACAGGTGGACGACGAGTTTCTCACCTCTTCGCAAAAATTCAGAGTTGAGGTTTTTTCTCCCCAGTAGCCCTCTGGAGAATCATCATTGTACGCCACACGCAAGGCCTGGAACAGTGGAGATGAAGCCATTTGTAACGAACGACCTTGGCCGGATCAACCCGGGCGAGCGAGACAAGAGGCAGAGGGAAATGAGCAGTTGTTTGTCCAGCTCAGATGGGCTCTGGTTCAAAATAACGCGGATTGCAACTTTGCTGAGAGAGAGAAAGGGTTGTACTGGATCTTGGCCACGGTTGCAGAGATTGTGAAGGAATCCGAGTGTTCTAAAATCTTTTAAACTTTCCGTCTACGTGTTCCAAGCGGCACCGGAGACACAAAGGTGAGGAAGCAGAACAGCAAGGCGCGCGCCCGGTGAACACGGAGAATATAAGCGATAATAAGAGAACGAGATAAAGGGAGAAGGAGAGAAGGAGAGGGGGGCATATGAGGAGGGGGAGTACCACTAGACTCGTAGAAAGGGCCGGGTCGCTCGGGGGAAATTTGAATCAGTCAGTATCTTGCGACAGACTGGGCCAGATTCCGCCGGTTGAGCTCCAGTTGCACAGTAGAGAGATAGACAGCCACAAGCACTTTGGTTGGTACTCGAAGAAATGGGAGGTATTGCAGGTTGCAAGTTAAAGAGGGCCGTCTTGGACTAATTCGTGGCCTTTGCCCGTTCGTTGTCTGATGTTTAGAAATCCGAGGTATGAGAGCACGACGAGCGTGTGGCCTGCAACTTTGCGGGAGGAGGAAAGAAGACGCACTACGATCAACGCAGGTGATTACGGACTTATACCCCAAGGTAAAGAATGAGTTCTGTCCATAGATCAACGAAGATAGCAAAGACAGTCCGTGGTACCTCGTTGGTTACACGTTGCAGACACGACTCGGTTTAGCTCTGGTGGACGTTCCGAGGCCCCAGTGGAGGATGACGTACCTTCACCTCTTGCAGCCCCTAAGGTAGGTACTTCGTACCGGAATGCGGTGGATGCACATATGCACGTTACTCGCATGGGTAATCGGATTGGAGGCTCCTATCAGGTCATTTTCCTGCTTACTTTCATGTCTACTGGAATGAGTATCCCAAAATTTAGGAGTTGGTGTTGTGTTGATAGCAGCGCAGTGGCCATCTTTCCGACTATTACAAACCCAAGTGATCTACCTTGGGGAATATCTAGTTCGTGTCAAGTCACAACTTGCGTTGTTCTTCGTGTGAAAGGTCTCCATAGAACGCCATTAGCCACTTTAGCAAGGGACCCTGGCAGAAAAGGCACTGTTTACCCATCATATCGTCTTGATGAATCCGCGCCATGGAGCTAATTACCAGGTGGCCGGAAAGATAGATGATGGCATACAGTACCATAATATTACGACCTTGGGATATATATGTGTGCCTATTTTGATCACGTTGGACTCTTATAAACTGCCTCACTTAAAGCAGAAGCAAATTTCAATGTGATACCAGAGCTACACACCCATTGAGGTGGGTAGGTGAGGCGCCCAGCGTGAAACGGTCACCCCTCTTTGAGCTAGATCTTCGTGCTGTAAGAAACTGTAGTTTTCTCATCTGCTAAGTATTGGTGCCGTGTGTACTCTGTACGGAGTACCTCACCTCCCTGCCTTGCCGCGACCCGACACGGAACCGCAACTGCGCTTTGCCCAACCTAAATAAACGATATTGCTCCAGCTCCCTTACATGCCACGTTGGTTGTCCATGTGAGCATTCTTTGTCTACACACCTGGCACAGAGAACCAATACATTCTTCCTTCCACTTGTTCTCAGCCGATCGAAGCTCAACCCGATTACTAGCTGTCGCGCTGTACTGCACTGCTCTTCTTGGTCGCAACCGGCCCACCTCCTTCAGCACCACGGATCCCAAAGCTTCTTGCTGTTTTTCGTCACCGAACGCGCAACCTCCACACTTTCTTGTCGAGTACAGGGAAGACAATCAACTCCCTTCTTGCGAGTCGGTAGCACGACAGCTCGATCCACTCCCATCGCATCACGGTCTTTGAAGGCGTACTCGAAATGTTCATGACCTCCGAAACACACAGCAGCCACGAGGCATAGCCCAGCCGTCTTCGTTTCTAGGTATTCAGGACCGATACATCAGCCGATCATCATTATGGCAGCTCCCGCAAAGTCGACGCGTTGGGGCTCTTTCCTTCAGCAGGCTGTTGCCGGCGTCGAGGCCCGTCTCGATAACATGCTTGCTGAGGGAGAGAATGGAGCTATCCCACCGCAAGCTCCCCAGTCTGCTACGGCTTCTACCACGGCTCCCTCCAAGGACCAGCAAATAAGTAAACCACCTCGTCCCTATGGCTCGAACCGTCATGGAGTGATACCACAACAATCGTACTGACCACATCTACTTCAGGCCAGCCTCGATCCTCAACGAGTAGCCGTACCAACGACCGCCTACAAGAGCGTCTTGCAAAGGCCATTGCCGCTAAAAACACCCAGCCGTCCGATGCCCGTAGCATAACGTCAGACTCCCAGAGTGCTCGACCGAGCGCTGATGGCGGCCGTCCAGGAGCCGGTTCGCTTCCAAAACGGGGTGCTGATACTACTAGCCTGGCAAACACTCTAACGCCGGTAGCAGTCCTGACTGAGGCCGCCGTACACAATAACACCGTGCAGAATGAGGGCGATCTCGTTGAGGCTTCCAAAGAAGATCCTCTGGACAGCCAGCGAGCTCCGAATTCGCCAGAGAGGAGCCGAGACTCGGAGGCTCAACAAGACAGTGTCTCCGCCGCCCCCAGCCCCCAGCCAGAACTCGAGACGGCCACCACCTTCACTGGCAACCGTCTCGAATGCAAGGATTGTGCGGTACTCCATGCACAGGTCGAGGCTCTGGAAGCTAGGGCAGAACGGTCAGCAAAAGAGCAACAGGAGGAAATGCATCGCTATGTCGAACAGTTTGAGTCCATGCAGGCAAAGCTGCAATTCCTGGCACGGGATGCTACAGACGCCGCACGAACGTCTGCAGCGGCGGCAGGTGCGGGGAGTCACGAGCGAATACTTGCCGAAAGGGACATGAAGATTACGGCTCTTATGGACGAAGGCCGGAATTTGGCCGCTACGGAGCAGAAACATCGGGTCATTATCAGGAAACTCAGGGCGCAGATCGCAGGCGACGAGAAAACTTTGGGAGAGCTACGTGCTCGTCAAGAAAAGCTAATTGCCGACATGGAGACTCTGCGGCCCCGAGCCAGCCGCGTTGAGGAACTTGAACAGTCGAACCAAGAACTGCAGATCAAATCCAACGGAATGCAAGATGAACTAAGCGCGTTGCGCGATGAAGTGTCAACTAACAAATCAACAATGCAGAGGCTACGGGATGATCTCCGGAGGGCCTCTGACCAGGCTACTTCCGCTGTAGGTAAAGCGAACGAGGAGGCGCTGACCGCCGAGAAACGCCGCGTCAAAGACCTTGAAGATACCGTTGCTGCATTGCAGCTAGAGCGAAGCCTCATCGCTGGCCGGGCAAAGGAAAGTGCAGCAGAGGCAGAAGCAAAAGCAGCGCGCGCCGCCGAACGCGCCCGTGCCAAGGAACTCGAGATGAAGGGGGAGCTTCAAGCAATGGAGGGGAAGCTGGAGGCGATGCGTGCGCTAGCAGAAGAAGCTTCCTCTGGCGCTGTGGGTGATTCTCAAGTCAAACTTCTGCGTCAAGTGGAAACACTGCAGACGCAGCATGCCATTGCTGCCGAAAATTGGCAGGGTATCGAGGCCAGTTTGGTCGCAAGGGTAGCCAACCTTGAGCGCGAGAGGGATGATGCTCTGCGACGCGAATCAGACATGCGGAAAAAGGCTAGAGAGACTGTAAGGCACATGATTATTCCTCCAGGCCATTTACCGGAGCTTCTGTCATTGAGTATCATTATTCTAAACGATTACAGGCAACCCGATGCAAACGCCAGGATGAGGAGCTCCAAGAGCTCACGAGCAGGTTTCCAAACTACCAACGGGATATCGAGAGTGTTCAAGCTCGTAATGAGACGCTGCAGAAAAGAGCAGAGAGCGCCGAGGCAGCGCTATCTCAGGTGAGGCTCGACCTCGAAAAGCAGCAGGCAGCTTGGAAGAATGAAACCGTTGAGCCCGACCGTCGGCCTTGGCTGGAAGACCACTTACCTGGTCCTGGATCTAGAGTTCAGAGTCGCCCAGACTCGCCTTTGCTCTCCGTACCTACGCGTACGATGAGTAATGACCTGCTACTTCTGCACAGTGTATCTGGCAAGGGTCGTAAGATATCGACCCCGACTAGCGGAACAGACGGCTTCCAAGAGGGTTCACAGCTGGGGAGAAGACTGTCAAGCCAGCCTCCAGCAAGACCGCCCATGCTGCCCAGCGGCTCCAGTTTACCGGTTGCGCCGTCCATTACTTCGTTTGAGTTGCCTCCAGACTCGTTGCCTACGCCCACATCCTACGCAGGCGACAAGGACGACTTGTTTGACGGCGTAGAAACATCGTCTTCACCTCGCCAAATGATGCATGATATGGTTTCTGTGTCAACGGTTGGTGCAGGGCCTTCGGTGCAGCTGGTCGAAAGAATGAGTGCGGCCATTCGTCGTTTGGAAGCGGAGAAAGTAACGTCCCGAGAAGAGCTGGCGCGCATATCGGGACAAAGAGACGAAGCTAGAGCCGAGATTGTTTCCTTGATGAAGGAACTGGAGTCGAGCAAGACGGCTTCAAAACGGGTGACCGAGTTGGAGGGACAGGTTGAGGATTTGAACTCGAGATACCAGACAACACTAGAATTACTCGGGGAGAAGAGCGAGCTAGTAGAGGAGTTGCGGGCTGACGTGCAGGATGTCAAGGCCATGTATCGAGACTTAGTAGAACGCACCATCAAATAAAGGAATCTTAAGTGCTGAGCACACAAACTGAACGTATTCTTCAAGCGGCTGTCATTTGCTGCGAGTCCATGGAAGAGTGTGGTCTCACCACCGCCCTAGCTGGGGAGGCAAAATACTGTATGCTATTCCTGTGGCTAGCTCAGCTGACTCATAGCTCTATGCCGTCCTCCTCGGCTGCACGTTCAATGAATCGGCGGACCTGCAAAGGCTCTCGAGCCCCCAGATTAGCTAATGTAGTTCGTGAAGCAGAAGTTCTGTCGAGCTGATATCATCACGTACCTCCTTATCAGGGGCCAAATCTAGAGGTAGACATCCATCATTGTCCTTTTTGTTGATCACGGCGCCAGCCTTTAGCAAAGCTACTGCTGTGTCACCTAAGATAGAATGTCAGTTGTACTTCATATCGCGTAGTTGAGGCTGGGAACGAGACGCACCGTGGCCCTCAGCAATAGCGTGGTGTAGGGCAGTGTAGCCAGAGGCGTCGGTGGCATTGAGAGGACTCCCGTGTTTGATCAGAAGTGACACCATCGGAACTGAGCCTATGGCAGCAGCCCTGTGTATGGCATACTGGCTGCGTTTGTCGCGGATCTTGGTGGACGCGGGCGGGTCGTGGTTGAGAAGCTTCTTTGCGACGTCCAAGTTGTTTTTTGACGCCACAAAGTGCATAACACTCTGTGTTCAACTTGAATTAGGTCCTAAATAGGAATAGCGATAGCAATGGGAGATCCCTTCTACTCACCTGTCCATTATGGTCTGAAACATGCAAGTAATGATTAGAAGGGTTCAAGTTTGGGGGCGCAACAAGCATAATGAGAATATCTCACTCTTCAGGTTGACATCGGCGCCCTTTTGGAGAAGTAAATTGACGAGATCATCGCCATCTTTGAGACTTGCAGAGATCATCAGCGGCGTCCAGCCGCTGCCATCCTAAGTGTCAAGAGTTGAGCTTAGCGTATGTTTTATAGTCAAGTAGATGGCTGACAATCATGAGACATCCTCAGAGCAGAGCCTCCCAGAAATCTCACTTACTTGGACATCAGGGTCAAAGCTACGACTCTGCGTGAGTAGAATGACGATGTCGATGCAGTTGGAGGATGCGGCCCAGTGTATGGGAAGCCTGCCGTCATCGTCTTCTCGTGCAGCGAGCTTGGGCTCCGTCTATAGTCCGAAGTCGGTCAATGCATACTCCTTGCGTGGCTTCGGAAAATAAAATACCTTGAGTATGGTTTCTGCGATAGATACTGCAAGTCAGGTTAGCCACATTCTTACAACCAAGCGTTTTTGAGAAGCAAAGCGGTGGCTGCTGCCTTCTTGGCAGAGTAAGTACCTTTGCCCTCGCGAGCTGCAGTATGGAGAGGAAACTTGTCCTGGGCCTCTGCCATGTTGACTGTTACCTCCTTCTGGTTGAAGTTTTCGACAGTCTTGTAATGGTGACCAATGGTTGGTGGCGTGCTGTAGTACGAAGAACAATATCGTTACGTGAAGTTGATGGTTTTGGGGTCAAATACCGGGAGAAGTCAATTCAGTGAGAGAGGAGTTCCAAGAAGTTGTAGGTGGATTTAGACCGTAAGAAGTTGCGAGAAATAGTCGATCACAATCCGGACGAAAACCTATTGTACCAGGAAGCCGAGTTCGAGAGGGACCTAGTATCGATTGGAATTTTCGCGTGTCACTTGTCCGAGATGAAATGATGAAAGGTAAGGAGGGCAGTTGTTGAGGTAGCCAAGAGGAGTCGGTCTCTCAAGTAATGTAGGTACTTAGCTAAGTAAGGTAGTCAGTCACTGCCACCTTGTCTTCAATATGTCCAAAGTTCGGCACCGAGGAATTCACTTCAGCCGCCGTCCGGAGCCAGTACGCAATGAACAACGCTGTCACTACCGTTACTTCACATAAGTAAGGTACGCAGCAAGATTTCTAAGTCATGTAAGTGACCAAGCTCATAAAGAGGTCTGGAACCATTGCCCAGCGAGAGAAGCTAGGTGATAGGTGAGATCTAGGTTTCTAGGCAGTATACGTCTAAGGCAGTGAAGCTAAGGTACCTTACCTTACACCTTTAATAGCTAAGTCAAGCTTAAGAAAAACCGGGTGAACGTCATATACTCACGGTTGTGACTTTGTTCAGAAATATCCATGACCATAGATCTGTTGATAAAGCGACGCCTTAAAGGCTCATTGCTCCAAGTCCCAAATTACCTACCTGAAGCCTGGTGGTACCTACTCCAGATAAGGTACCTCCTGTATGTAAATACCGTTAGTTAGGTAAGGTAAGGTAAGGTAGGCGCGCACGTTGGTACCTACACGACCATAGAAGCACGTACCCACCCAGACCATCGCTAAAGATGGCTATCCAATTCAAGACTCTGGCGCGTCAGTCTTTTTCCAATCCATCCCATTTCATTCTGCTACACCGCGACGCACCACAATAACTATTCGGCACCTGGCGCATAAACAAGATCGTCGAATCAAGGAAAATTCAACCAGAACGCGCTTCTGCGATACTTCCGCTCCATCGACCCAGTCAGGTTGCCACTGCGATGGGAGCCGCCATGGCTGAACCGACGGCGCCCTCGTCCGACACCACCCCTTTAAGGTCCCTCCTAGACGGCAATCAGAAGACGACCAGAACCATTTACCCCCAGGCTCTCGGCCTTCCCTCTAAGAAACGACAAAGAAACGAGCCTAGCGACTCGTCGACCGAGAGGCCCAGCGACGAAACGGGTGCCGATCGCCGGTTCAAGCTCGAATACTCCGGGGTTCAGCAGCTTCCACCAGCTCTTGCTGCTAAGCAGCCCGCTCCCACGAAGGCACGGCGAATCAAGGCACACTCCAAGCCAGAGCAGGCTGTCATCAGACGAAATTCTGCACAGAAGCTACTTGAGGGCCCCAGTGGACCCGGCCCTGGCGCTCCTCCCATCAATAATGAAAGACCCGGCGTCAAAGACAACAACAACTCCCAACTTTCTCAGCCCACAAGTCTGACCCGAGCGGTCGCGTCAACTCCTCACGGCGCCAGGCCTGAGTGGCATCCGCCATGGAAGCTAATGAGAGTCATTTCTGGTCACTTGGGATGGGTTCGGAGCTTAGCAGTCGAGCCAGGCAATAAGTGGTTTGCAAGTGGTGCTGGCGACAGGACTATCAAGATCTGGGATTTAGCCACCGGCTCCTTACGCCTGACTCTGACTGGTCATATATCGACCGTACGTGGCCTTGCCGTAAGCCCGCGCCACCCTTATTTGTTCTCCTGTGGCGAAGACAAGATGGTCAAATGCTGGGATCTCGAGACAAACAAGGTTATCCGCCACTACCATGGCCATCTAAGCGGCGTCTACACACTTGCGCTTCATCCCACCTTGGACGTACTGGTCACTGGTGGTCGAGACGGTGTCGCAAGAGTCTGGGACATGCGAACCCGAAGCAACATTCACGTATTATCCGGCCACACCGGGACTGTATCGGACGTCAAGTGTCAAGAGGCCGATCCTCAGGTCATGACCGGGTCTTTAGATGCGACAGTGAGACTTTGGGATTTGGCTGCCGGAAAGACCATGGGTGTCTTGACGCATCACAAAAAGGGCGTTAGGGCCTTGGCCACGCATCCCTCAGAGTTTACGTTTGCTAGTGGTAGCACGGGAAGCATCAAGCAGTGGAAATGTCCCGAAGGAGCCTTCATGCAGAATTTCGACGGCCACAACGCCATCATCAATACGCTCAGCGTTAACCAGGAAAACGTTCTGTTTTCCGGTGGCGATAATGGCTCCATGAGTTTCTGGGACTGGAAGACAGGCCATCGCTTCCAGGCTCTAGATACTACGGCACAGCCGGGATCCTTGGACGCCGAGGCGGGCATCATGAGTTCTACGTTTGATCGCTCCGGGCTGCGTTTGATTTGCGGAGAGGCCGACAAGACGATCAAGATATGGAAGCAGGATGAGAAGGCGACACCTGAGTCGCACCCCATTGTTTGGCAGCCAACACTGGCCAGACGCAAGTTTTAGATACTGGCAAAGGATCCATGTAGAATAGGATTGGCTCGGAAACCCCAGCCTTACTTGTCATTAATAGATACCCGACCCCAAAGCCTGCCTGTATTCGGGACCTATATTTCAGACAGTGACCTAGAAAAACAGACCCAAGGCTTTTACTTCTCCATCATCTCGAAACGCCATCTTGACCTCCTCATCACCCACAGCGAGACGTACCTTGCTTGGTCGTTCTGGTTTATGTGCTTCTAGCACAATGATGCCAGCGCCCGTTAGTTCAAGCGCCGCCTGAGGAAGCGCCAGAGATTGGACTACTCGGATACTACCATTGCCTTGGCCGACGTCACCTCCTGATGGCCCCGTCGACAGAGCTCCGAGGATGGTGGACTCGAGAGTCGCCGTGTCCAGGTTGATGATGCGGTGTATTTCGTCCACTACATCGCCGAATGTCGTCTCAACAGTGCCGCTTCTTTGTATTGTGACTAGCAACGAACACAGGAATAGCTTGGGTGCGAAAGGTAGAGACCGAAGGTGTTGTTGGACAGGATTGGTCGTGGCCTCGTTGATGGCACGTTTGATTGTGGCGATAGTGACCTTGACTGGCGCATCTGATGGTCTGCCTTTGCTCGGGGTTGATCGTCGTGCCTCGGGGTTGACTACAAGCGTCTCGATGCGGGTGTCGCCTTCGGCGAGCTCTACAGCTCGCCTACAAATGTCCAGGGCTCTTCTTGCATCGCCGCTCACTGCAGCCACCTTCCGGCTGGCGAATTGAATAGCGTCCGCCTCCACGATGCTCCCGGGCACACATTCGAGCCTTGACTGAATAATCTTCATGAGCTGTTCATGGTTATAGCCTGGGAATGTGATTCTTGTCAAGCCTGGTTTGTCATGTCAGCACGAAACACTTTTCGCAGTATGCATGCATAGAACTCACCTATGCGACTGCTGATTTTGTTACTCAGAGTTCTCTCCGGAAGGTCCATGGTATTCGCAACAGCTAGGACAATGAGCCTGCTATGTCGAAGGCCAGGCCAGTTGAAAAAGTTGTACATGACGCTCTGGTTCTTCGTCACCAGCTGGTCCAGTTCATCCATCAGCACAACGCACGGCGTCCGGCGAGGACTTGGATTGTTGAACTCTCTCTCTAAAAGGTCGATGGCTTGTGTAGGACTAACTCTCTCGCCTTTGAGTGCCTCCCACAGGAGGGTGTAGGACTGGTGAGGGTCGGTGATCTTCATGCCATTGATCTCTACGAATATGAAATCGTCAAGTTCATCGGCCTTCACGCTGTCTTCTAGGCGAGATATCACTTCTCGGACAGTGGCTGTCTTCCCCGTCCCTGGAGTACCAGCAATATAGATACAGCTTCCTGAACCATCCGCAATGGCTGCCTCCAGGTGTGAATACACCAGGTTGAACTCGCTCTCGCGGCAAGGCAAGCTTCTTGGTACGGAGGCAACGTGGAGCTGGGAACGAGCCAGCTGAAAAGGCGAAGATTGCAAGCGTTTTGGTGACAGTACTCTCGTACCTAAAGGCGTAAACTCGAGCGTCTTCTTCACCACGATCCTGCATGAACACGGCCAGTTAGGCGAGGCGCCTAATGAATCAGGTATGGAGCAGAGACATACCGTTTACGAGACCCAGGTGTCGTCGTTATCCGGGCATCTCCCTTGGGCGTTGAATGTTCGGCCTTCGGGGTTCGTTTGGGCGTCGATGCACCCGCCAAACTATCTGTGGTCATCTTGTACGACTGCTCCGGCGTTGATTGCCTCGCTGCCTGACGATGTCGCGTCGACTTCGTTTGTGATTTGACAAACCCGATCAGGTCAGAAACGCCCTGCTCACTCGCATGATACACTTCTTCCCACACAAACTCATCCGTGTAGGTTGCTGTTCTTGTGTTACATGCGCGACGGCAGATGAAGGTCTTACCAAAATCGGGTGAGGATCGAGGTATTTTGCCCGACGGGAACTTTTGATGAAATTCTCGATGAGAAATGACGACGGCTGTGCCGTTGACAGCGGCGAGCGGATTTACATCCCACGAAGGTGAGATGTACAGTTCATTCTAGATGACTCAAAAGTAAGCGTTGGCACCATCAATTAGCCTGGGTCGAGTGACATACAGGCAGGAAATCCGACCGTTTCCTCTCCTTGTTACGGATTTCCTTCTCTGTCGAGAACCACATGAAGTTCGCTGCTTTTTCGCCATCATCTTCTTCTAAAAACTCGCAGACTATGGCGACCCAGGCCTCGTTGGACCCTTCCGCCTTCAGTAGAACACAGTCGCCAACGTAGCACTCAAACTTGCCCATTCGGGCACCCATGATCCGCCCCTCAGTATTGGCTCTCCTCCGCTTCCGAGAGGTTTGCGTGTCGTCGCCATGGTCCTGTGGGGTATCCGCATCATTGGACTCGAGAATCCATTCCCATGGAAGATCATCTATGCCAAGCTCATCATCTGAGTCGTCCCTGACAACGCCTGTAGACTTTTTTGACTGACGACGCCCTCGTGGAGCTGTTTTGGGCGCGAGAACACCCATTGAAAGCTGCAATAAGATGCTGCAATTGAGGCCCTCATTAACTTAGTTATGCAGTCAGCGATGCAATGTTGTCCGCGGCGAGGGACCCGTGATTTAGATAGGAGGTTCAGCTTAAAGTACGTAGACCTCCGACCACGGATATACGGAGGTGCGTCCCAAAAGTTATGACAGTGGGGACATGGGTTAATCACCTAGTCAATAGGATCGGTACAGGAAGCTACTTCGAACTTTAATTAATAAGGATATTAAATTATCGATTAAATAGAATAAATTATTCATACTTCTTAATAAATAGCTTTTTATTAATAATTCATTAATAAGAGATAGAGATAGGTATTTATTTATATCTTAGGGTCGCTCGTTTAAAATAGGTCTTTATTTATTTTAATATTCTATTTTGATTAATTATTAAAGTAGTTCTTAATATTATTAATCCCCTTAGGGTCCGGTCTGCCTCATTAGGGGCTATCTTTGCCTTTATAAATAAGCTAGTTTATTAAAGTTAATATTAAGTATTTTTATTATATATTTTAATAAAACTTTATAACTAACTATAGCTAGTCGTAATTATTACTAAGTAAATACTAATAACCCTATTACTATAATATATTAATTATCTTTTTAATAACTAAATACTACCCCTTACTTTCTTTTTTTATTTTATTTAATAAGAACCTCTTTATATTAATATTTTTATTTAATATACTTAATTACGCTCTTTTTAAGCTTTTAATTATATTATTAAGTCTAGGCTTATTTATATTATTTTATTATATTTAAAGGTATTAATAAGGGTAATGCTTATTATAATATATTTATCTATTTTATATAAATCAATATTATAAATATAATATTTATTAAAACGGTCTTTTTATAGCTCGGGGTTATCCCCCCGACGGAGTAATTTACTAGGGCCGTACTATATACTACGTATTAAAAAAAACTAAGTATATTACGCTTTATACCTAACTATTAATTAAAATAGTTAACTAACTTGACTATTATCTCCGTTTTATTAATAGCTCCCGACTTTTTACTACGTAATTCTAGCTATTTAAGAGGCGAGCTATACTTATTTTAATATATATTTATTTTTTATTTCTACTTTTATTAACTACTTAGGCGATTCTTAATATCGGTTATATAATATTAATATATAGTATTAATAAATACTTACACTATCTTATTAAATTATTTTTTTAAATTTTCTACCTTTTTAAACTTTTTTTTTATAAAGTTTATAATTACGAATTAATAATAATATTAAGCGCCCGACGCTACTACTTTATAAGCTACTTACTTAGCTAAGTTTATTACCCTCTAAATAATAATAACTTATAATAATATAATATTAGAAATACCCTCGTTACTATTATTAAGTATAATACTAACCTTTTTATTATTAATATTTACTATATTTTTAACTTCGACTTATATATATATATATATTCGTTACCTCGTTTTTTTTATTAAATTAAAAAACACTACTTCCCTTACTATTTATTACTATTATTATTAAATTATTTACTTTAAATATATATTATTAAAATACTAAAACGCTAACTTATCGATTTATAGGGATACTTTAAGGACTAGAAGTTCGATTTTATAAGTATTATATTAAAAAACCCCGAACTATAATAAGGTCGTTTTAAGGAATATAAATTAAATATTATTAACTTAAAGATTTAAAATACGTATATTAATATAGGTATTACTTTTATTAATACCTAACTAATATAATATAGTAGCCTCGAAATACCTAACTAACTCCTAAGTATTATTAATACTCTAAAATCGCTACGTAAGAGTAAATTAAAAAGGATTAAAAAAAAATTCTAACGTTATTAAAAAAAGTAAAAAATAGGGGGTAGTTTTTAGCTATTTAAAGGGTAATTAATATATTATAATAGCGGGGTCGTTAGTATTTTAAGTTTAGTTAGTATTAATAATTAGTAATAGCTATAGCTAGTTATTATTAGTTATAAAGTTTATTATATAATAAAGATACTTAATATTAACTTTAATAGACTAGCTTGCCTATAAAAGCGAAGATGGCCCCTAATGAGGCGGACCGGACCCCAAAGGGTTTTAACATATATAAAACCTCTTAGTCCTAGCCTATATAGCGGTTTTTTCTAGCTTTATAAGCGCAAAAGATCGACCTTAATAGGATTACGCTTTTAAAAGAAATTATATAATATAATATACTTTTTAATTATTTATTTATTTTAATATTCTGCCTTTACTAGCTACTTAAGTAGTTCTCGATATTATTTATATAGTCTTAATCTATAGTATTAATAAATACTCTTATTATCTCGATAGACTATTTTTTTAGATTTTCTAACTTTTTAACTTTCCCTCTTATAAAGTTTATAACTACGGATTATTAATAATAATATACTTTTTAATTATATAATACGTATAATATACCCTAAGTACGTGCTTAATATAATATAATAATTTTAATATAAAAACTATTATATATTTTAAAATATGTAAGCTGCTCTTTACGTAGTAACGCTAGTTAAAAAGGTTAATAACAAAAGTTAGTTATAAAAGTTAAAAATATCCCTTAATTATAGAGGTTCTAAACTTTAATAATAATATAGAGGTTTTTTTTAAAAAAAGGCTAAAAGGGCTAATATTTAGCTACTTAAAGCTTATAAAATTTCTTTTTATTTTTATTATTTTTAATATTACTTAAAGTTACTTTTTATTTAAATTAAATAGATTTACTAAATAAACTTATTAAACAAACTAATTAATATATAAATTACTACTCTCTTAGTATATAGTTAATAACTAGCGGGCTAATACTTTTTAAAAATACCCCTCGATAAGTCCCCCCCTTTAAAGCTTAATAAATTAAGCCCCCTCGATACCCTAGTTATTATAACTAATATAAGTATATTTAAAGAATAATATAATACTTTTTAATAATATAAAATCTAACTAAGTAATAATAAAAATATTATAAATAGCTAAGTTAATATGGATATTAAAATTTAGTGTATTAACGCTAACTTAGAAATTATATTTTATAAAACTAAAAATCCCTTTAATATAAGCTATATTATAAATATAAAAGAATATATAGTTTATTAAAATAGTATAAGTATTTATTAATACCGTGTATTAATACCGTATAATTAATATTAAGAACCGCCCGAGTAGCTAGTAAAGGTAGAAATGAAAATAAATAAATAAAGGAATATATAAGGGGTCCTCTAATTTTTAATAAAAAAAAGTATATAATATAAGATTTAGTTATTTATATAAGTTAGTATTAAGTAGTTTTATAGACGTTAAAATAAATATAACTCGCCCTTTAAATAGGTAGTAAAAAGTTAGGAGTTTTAGTTAGTAATTAAGTATAGAGCGTAATATACTTAGTCTTTTTTAATATATAATATATAGTACGGCCCCGGTAGATTACTCCGTCAGGGGGTAATACTAGCTTATATAAGTAACTAAACCCCTTTAGGGTCCGGTCCGCCTCATTAGGGGCCATCTTTATCTTTATAAATAAGCTAGTTTATTAGGGTTAATATTAAGTCTTTATTACGTACTTTAATAAGATTTTATAACTAACTATAGCTAGCCGTAATTATTACTAAATACTAATAATCCTATTATAATATATTAATCGCCCTCTAAATAGCTAAAACTTACTTCTTATTTTCTAACTTATTTAATAATTTTAAAATATCTTTTTTAGTTTTTTAAACTTCTTATTCTATTATTATAATACTAAGGTATTAATTATATTTTATAATTAATTAAGTATTTTATTAAGGCTATATTATATTAGTTAGGTATTAATAAAAATAATACTTATATTAATATACGTATTTTAGATCTTTAAGTTTATAATATTTAATTTATATCTTTTAAAACGACTTTACTATAGTTCGGGGTTTTTTAATATAATATTAATAAGATCAAATTACTAAGTATATTCCCTAAAGTATTTTTATAAGTCGACGAGTTATTAACGTCTTAGTATTTTAATAGTATATATTTAAAAATAAGTAAATAATTTAATAATAATAGTAATAAGAATAGCGTAATAATAATAAATAGCGAGGGAAGTAGCGTTTTTTAATTTTAATAAAGGAAACAAGGTAATAAATATATATATATATACGTAAGTAAAATTAAAATAGGGTAGATATACTTATAAAGGTCGGCGCTAATTATTCTTAATAACGGTAATAATAGTATTTTTAATACTACTATTATAAGCTATTATTACTTAGAGGGCCGTAAACTTAATTAAATAAATATAAGCTTATAAAGTAGTAGTATCGTACTTAATATTATTATTAATCCCTTTAGGGTCCGGTCCGCCTGATTAGGGGCCATCTTTACTTTTATAAATAAGCTAGTTTATTAAGGTTAATATTAAGTTTTTATTATGTACTTTAATAAGACTTTATAACTAATAATAGCCGGCCGTAACTATTAATACTAACTAAACTTAAAATACTAATAATCCTATTATAATATATTAATTACTTTCTAAATAGCTAAATACTACCCCTTACTTTCGCTTTTTATTTTATTTAATAATAACCTCTCCTTAATATTCTTTTTTAATACGCTCGCTTATACTCTTTTTAAGTTCTTTATTATATTATTAAATCTAAGCTTATTTATACTCTATTATATTAAAAAGGCGCTAATAAGAGTAATATTTATAATAATATATCTATTTATTTTTTATAAATTAATATTATAAATATAATAATTATTAAAATAGTCTCTCTATAGCTTAGGGTCGTTTAGTATAATACTTATAAAATCGAACTTCTAGCTTTTAAAAAAGCCCTAAGGGTTAATGAGCTATTAATATTTTAGTATTTTAATAAAATATACTTAAAGTAAATAGTTAAATAGTAATAGTAATAGTAATAATGATAGTAAAGAAAGCGTCTTTAACTTTAATAAAAGAAACGAGGTAACGAGTATTTATTTTTTATTTTTATTTTTAT